GAGGCTGGAGCTGCCTTCCATGCACTCACTGCTGAGTAAGTGAGCTTGGAAAGCCTAGTGAACTGGCCACGAAATGGCCAGTGACTAGCAAGTCACTGGCAAGTGACTTTGGCGGTCATAAGATTCCCAGAACAGACCTATTTTATCCTCACAACAAGGAACCAGTGGTTTTGTTAGCTTTTTAACCCCTGTCTCACAGATACGGATGGTGAGACTATTAGGATGTCTGATTAGGTCACACAGGGCTAGAGCTGCTATTAAAACCCAGGCACGCAGGTATATATGACTTCAAGACTGGTCTTTGCAGAGCCCACAGTAGGGCAGTAGGCAGCTCTGACAGGGAGATGCCTATGTGAGTTGTACTTTTATTTCATGAGCAATGGGGGCCCAGGACTCAGGGGTAACGTGGATTCCAGATGTCCTTGGGATGAGTCTGGAGGTGAGATGGGGAACGGATTGTCTGGTAGAGAGGATGGGGAAGGGAAGGAGGAAGGGAGAAAAACCAGAAAGACTGGCAAAAGGGAAGCCCAGAGGCCAATGTGCTAATTGCTTCTGGAGGTGAAAGGTCATGAAGGAGGCAGCTGTGGCTAGAGGGGAGGAAACCGGCTAAGTTAACACCCCTCTCCCCGGGTTGAGGGTGGGGCTGGTCCTAGACAGCAGGGTGACTGGGAGAGTGGAAGTACTGCCCCAGCTCATTTCAATGACATTTTAACCCCAAGCATAGAATTAACCTAACAAATAAAATGGCTTTCTAAATTTGTGTCTTTATTGAAGAAAATATTAATCCATGAGGGAAAACTGATTTCACCCCCACACAGTTTTCCATAAGCCACAGTTTCCTGCCAAATATCTTCTCAGAGGAGTACTGACCCTTTTTGCCTTGGCAAAGGCCAGGTCCTGGGAGCTGAAACTCTTTTCCAACCTGGACAGTTCTGTGAGCAGAGACTCTCATAAAGTGGTTGGAGACGAGGAGTTGGTTTGGTCTTTCCATGACTGTGAAAGAAGGAGGCTGACGGGGAAGTAGTGGTCCAAGGTGCTCTCAAAGGAAGGGGAAAAGAGCACTCCCCGTTATATTTGTTACAGATACCTTTGACACCACACACCACCCAGGTCTCTCCATGTGAAGCACTTTCGGGGGATTTTTTTTCTTTTTAAGTCAAGGGAAAAACATTTTTTTTAGTGTTAAGAAAAGTTTTTCTCCCCCTTAGGAGCTGGTATTCTTTTTCTTGATAAACAACATGGGACCAGGTCATTGATTCCATCTCTCTTATTCGGGCCACGTGAAAGATAGGAGCCACATGATCTGCATATCCATGCATCAGTTTTCTTTTTTGTCTTTTGTATCTTCATGAATATTTTTGTTTTTTATTGATTGTGAAAACAATACATAGTCACTGCTAAAAACCAGGAAAGTACAAAGGAATTTAGATAAGGAAAAAAAATCACCACGAGCCTGTTACTTGCGTATATCACCATAGTTTGGTATCATTTTTCCTTTTTTGTTCCGTTTTCAAGTATGAAAACTATCAGAGTATGTATCTATAGAATACATGTGTGTAGGCAGATTGAATATATATATGTGTACGTGTACATATTGATTTCCAGAGGAAATTGTACTTTTAAAACAGCAGAGACTTTTTCTTGAAGTAGATTCAGCAAGGGAGTGAAGCCAAGAAGGAGGTGGGAGTAGCAGGGAAGTAGGGATTAATCTAGCTAAATCGTGGGTCCTGGCAAACTGTAAGGTTACACTGAGAAATACGAGAAAGGAAATGACTCAGTAACGTTGAGAGAGGGAGCAGAGATGAGACAGCAGAACGAAAGAGTGAATGGCCTATCCTGGGTTTGGGAAGGGGTGTGGGGACCTGGAGCCCCAGGCACTCAGTGATTAGAACAATAGGAGAATTTAGTTTTCAAATCAAATCATCTGGACTGTATTAAGTAAGTGCCTTTAGTGAGCAATAGCTCTCCTTTGCTTTCTGCATGTAGCCTGGGAGCAACTCTTGACATCTTATTTGCTGAGCCTTAGAGCTAAGCTGGAGTCCGGCCTGCAGAGCTGGGAATTTGAGTGGCTTTCTTCTCAGAGTTGTTTTGGAGTAGTGAGAACTGCTCACTTAAGAAAGGCTCCCTCTTGTACTCCAGTCTTTGGGGAATACAGTGAGTGACACTTTTAATTAACAAATCTGCTAGGAACCAAACTACTTAAAATGTGTTGGCTGGGTGTGGAGTTTGAAGGGTGGGCTATGGGAGTGCGGGGACCTCAAGCTGGTGAGATGTACATCTTTGGGGTCAGAGCCATCGGCATGAGGGCAGGAGTGTCCACCCGGAAGGCCTCACACTCTGTCCCAGGGAATGGAGGCTGGCAAGCTGGGTGGCCCTCCTTGGGCAAGCTGAGCTCATCTACCACTTCTGATGCAGTGCTTTCTGCATTGGGTGTTCCCCTTCTCACCACTTTCAGGAGCCACAGCCCAACTGTTCAGGATGCAGGGGCAGAGTTGGGGACCAGCATTTGGGAATGCATCATTCTGGCTTCTGTATTATTCCTACAGCTGGTAGCTGAATTTCTGACCACAGTAGTGTCCTTATGTGTCTTCCACCAAATGATACATATTGCCACATTTCACTGGGGACTGTAGGATATTGGTGCTCCAACAGCATCAATATCCATGGTATCAGAGAGGCTTAGAAAGGTTCATGAAGGAGAGGAGTCTTTTCTGGTACCAAAGTGAAAGGTACTTATGTAGGACATGCTTACTTTGGAAAACGTTTTTTTAATAGGATGAGTTCTGAAGGAATAACCAAAGGTTTTCTTAGCTCTAATTATTTTGCTAAAGGGAGTTTACTTAACTTTGACAACATTATCAATTGGTTCCTCACTCTGGAAGGCTGAGACAAACCTCCTGAGGCTAGCTATGAGTTTTTGCCTGCCCAAAAGTTGACAGAAGGATTTTATAAAAGCTTGAAACAGAATTACAATTGTTAAACTGAAAGTGTAACTAAGACTATTGTCTTTATTTTTTATTTTTTTTTATGCTGAGAGAAATGATTTTAATCTCTTTAGTGCAATTTTCCCTGTCTATTTTTATATGTTTTTTTAACAAGATAGTCTTGGTTTTTAAATTTTTATTTCTCTGTTTATTTTTGATCTTTTTTTTTTTTTGACACAGAGTCTTACTCTGTAGCCCAGGCTAGAGTGCCACGGCGTCAGCCTAGCTCACGGCAACCTCACACTCCTGGGCTCAAGGGATCCTCCTCCTGCCTCAGCCTCCCAAGTTGGCTAGGACTATAGGTGCACACCACCACGCCTGGCTAATTTTTTCTATTTTTAGTAGAGACGAGGTCTCACTCTTGCTCAGGCTGGTCTTGAACTCCTGAGCTCAAGCGATCTTCCGGACTCGGGCTCCCAGAGTGCTAGGATTACAGGTGTCAGCCACCGCGCCCCACCTGATTTTTTTTAAAGATTGCCGATGGCTGCACCTACAATACTGAAACTCAACAATTAATCTTAACTCTGCTTTCTTTTCTGAGGGTGACTACCCTTCTTCTTCTTCTTCTTTTTAAATCGTACTCTTTTAAAGGTCTTCTTAGGAAAACATCCAAGTTTTCCCTCAAGGCAATGGGTGAGTTCCCCCTGGCAATATCTTCAAAACTTGGATAAAGAAATCTGAATAAGAATTTTATCAGTGCCAGGGTTTAAATGTGAGAAAGCAGAAGCAAAAGAAAACAAGACAAATACAACTTCAATGCAAAGTTTCTATACCTAGGATTAAGCCTAGGTCTAGGCTGTAGTGGTTTCCTACACTAAAATTCCAAAGGAGGCAATTGTTACCGGAAATTATGATGTGTCTAACAGAAAGAGCAAATCATGCTCCTTTTCTTGTGTGTCTAAGGAAGGAAGGGTCAACAGTGTGGCTTGATGTGGAAGAGGCAAACCTGGTTGCAAGGCCCAGCATAAAGGGCTAACATTCAGTATCTTCTATCGAAGTCTGTTATCATTGATGGATATGGAAAGATCTCTGATACAGTTTATAAAACGAAGTAGGGGTACCAGATGAATCTGCTCATCTTTAAAATCGATTTTACATGCATATACACACACACATATGAATATGTATACACACGAACTCTCATTAAAGGAAGAACTTGGTGGAGTGGGCCAGGGCCTGTAGGGCACCAGGAGGGACTTGCAATGTGGTTTGGGAGGCGGCAGGCAAAGCTGGAGGCCCTGTCTGCCTTTCTTAGGACATATTGGAAACTCTCAGGCAGAAGCTGGTGTTGGGCTAGTTTCTCTGAGATTAAGTCGTAACAATAAATATTGAAGGTTGCATAGGATCGAAAGTCTTATCACATCTTCTCCCTCAGAAACCTTTATGTCTCAATATCTAAATTTCCTTATAAGCCGACACTTGCCTACCTCCCTACACTTGTTTCCTGCTACTCTGGCCTCCAGCCACACTGTTGTCACCTTACTTGGCGAGGGTGAGCTGCTTGAGGGTTTTGTGTGTCATCTTTGTGGACCTCGCAGTGCCTTACACTCCTACTGTAAGAGCTCACTAATGTGTTAAGAGGCTGGTTTCATGGGACCGTCTTTAGCTAAGGACAGGCGGAGGGATCCTCATTATGTCTATTCTATGAGCTGGGAGAGTGTGGGGTGCTGGCGAGGAAGGAGAGCAGGCCCCCCTTCCTGGCTGCTGGGGAATACGGGCTCCCTGGGGACAGGGGAGGTTTGCTGGACTTGCTGCGCACAGGGACAGCCTGGACAGCTGAGTCCTGGGCTCGTGTTTGGAGAGCCCCCGGCAGCAGTCCCGGTGCGGCTAACCAGGATGGAGGGATGAATGGGCAAGCGTGTCCTTGGATGAAACCAAACACAACTTGTCAGCCACTTAAAGCTGATCCTAAGGGAAGAGCCAGCGTCATTTAACTATTGTGCTATTATTGGTGATGGTGATGAAGGTAATGATGCTGACAATTAAGAAGATAATTAATTGTTTTCCTTCTTTTAGTCACATAGAAAAAATCACCACATGGCAAGACCCTAGGAAGGCGATGAATCAGCCCCTGAATCATATGAACCTCCACCCTGCCGTCAGTTCCACACCAGTGCCTCAGAGGGCCATGGCAGTGTCCCAGCCAAATCTCGGTAAGCCCCAAGCTTTGACTCTGAGCTGAAGAGACACGTGTTCAACCAAGGGGTGCTGGGGCTCTGAAGTGGCTCTGGTTGTCTCCGTGCCTCGTCATGCTCCCAGACCGTGTGTTCTCGTCCGTTTTGGCTAGATTACCTTATTACCCTTCTGCTGCCTTTGCTGCCTTTGCTTGGCCTCTTTGCCACCTGTTCACGATGCTGCTGCCTTGGGTTCACAGAACAGTTCAGTATCCCCTCCAGTTGCCTTAGTTAGAGTACTCTGAAAAATCACTTACACTTGCTGTCTTCATCTAGACTAAGACAAGTAGGGCACATACCCCCCTCTGTGGATTTGGTCCCTGATTCTGCCTACAGGTGCAAACTCTGGTCTCAAATCTCTTTACTTCTTTTCCTATTTATTTATTTATTTTTTTGCATAATTCCTGCAAAATATGTGTCTGATAGCAGGCTAGGTGCTTTATCTCATTAAATCCTCCAAACAACCCTACAAAAAGTAACAATCCTCAGTTTATAGATGGAGAAACTGTCCCAGAGTCACACAGTTTGCTGAGGCAGAGCTGAATAGCAGAGCAGGTGGGTCTGATTTTAGATGCAGTTAACCATTACATAACCTGCAGGTGGCTTTTCAAGGATAATATGGCCCACTTTTCACTTCATTTACAGTGATAAAGTGTGATTTAGACTTGAGAATATTTTCTACTAAAACTATGCCCACTAGAGATAATCACCAGTAAATTAATACACTACAGCAACAGAACTAGCCAGCTCTTTTGCTAGTCATTCCCTTCCTTTCCCTTAAGGGCTAAAAATATTAATAAAAGAGGGCCAATTTTAAAGTTTTATAAAAGACGGTGCCGTTTTCAGATAACATTTCCATTTCAGATCAGATATCCAGATACTGCTTTATACACAGCACAGTTAATTTTAGGGAGTGAAAAGAATCTCCTGTTGGATTTTCAGGAATGAACAGGATAAAAATGGAAGCGTTATTCCTGGACACCCTTCCCTCATATTGTGGCTTAGCCAAAGTGAGAATGAACTCAAGTAGACCCGAGTCAGCTCCAAGTGTCTGTTCTTCCAGGAAGTCTGAACCTACTGTTTTAAAGCTTGCTGACGTACACTCTATGCAAAAACCAAATGGTGTGGAATAACCTCTGTTGTGTTTCTTATCTAAAGGGCAGATCAAGGAAAATGGCACCAGTCCTTGTACCAGTGGTGGTAAATCAAAGCTCCCATGAGTCATTCGTTCCAAATATATAGGAGCTCCTGTAGAAAGCAGATGCCAGTGTAGTAAAAAACACCCCAAGTTAGGTGGCATTAGACTAGTTTCAAGGTTTCTTTAACCATTTAATTTTCATTAAAACTTCTAAAAATTGATTATTAAAGTTTTAACTTTAACTTTATAATCAAAAAAAAAATTGAAGCACTTTCAAGAGGCATTCAAAAAGTCAGTCATCCTCGAATCCCCGTTTCCTCAGTCCCCCAGTTTGTTTCCTGGAGCCAACCAGTGTTTCCGGTTGTGTCTGTGTGTGTATGAATGTTTCCTCACCCTAATGCTATCATGTTTACCCACTGTTCTGTGCCTTGGTTTTTTCACTTCCATATCCATACATACAGAGCTACCTCATTCATTTTAAAAATTGCCTAATAGGTTAACATATGGATATGCTACAGTTTATTTAACTATTTCCCATCTGATGGATATTCAGTTTTCAGTGTGTTGCTATTAATAGTACACACACACACACACACAAATAGTACACACAATATGGAGTGAATATCCTTAGTCATGCTCTTTGTGCGCTCTTCCTTAATTTTTTTTTTTTTTTTTTTGTGAATATCCTTAGTCATGCTCTTTGTGCGCTCTTCCTTAATTTTTTTTTTTTTTTTTTTGAGACAAGGTCTTGCTCTGTCACCTGGGCTAGAGTGCTATGGTGTCATCTTAGCTCACCGTAAGCTCAAACTCCTGGGCTCAAGTGATCCTCCTGCCTCAGCCTGCTTAGTAGCCGGAACTACAGGCACGCGCCACTATGCCTGGCTAAGTTTTCTATTTTTTGTAGAAATGGGGTCTCATTCTTGCTCAGGCTCGTTTCAAACTCCTGACCTCAAGTGATACTCCTGCCTCGGCCTCCCAAAGAGCTAGGATTACAGGCGTGGAGCACTGCACCCAGCCTCTCCTTAATTTTTAAAAATTATGCAACAAATAGGAAGTGGACTAATTAAATTAAAAGGACCTTGAATGCTTGAAACTCAATACTGAAGGCACACGTGAGTCTGCCTGCATACACACACAGTGCAGTTGCACTAGTACAGTACATCTGAAGAAGTTATAATCTGCACATTCTGAAACAAATTTATCTGTGCCTGAATAAAATACCTTAGTTTCCAGATTTCTAATAAATCATCACAGTAAATTTCTCAAGGCACACATTCTGAGCTTTTCCCAACAATATTTGAGTATTTGCCCATTGCAAAGTGTGTTGCTATCGTATAGAGACTCACAGATGTATCCAAAGGCTGGAAATATAACTGGGAATGCCAAGTAAGTTCCAAAGACCATGAGATAATTTAGAGTCACAACATAGCCCCAATAAGAAATGATTTAATCAGATATTTCCTTTCAAGCCATAACCATAATACTGCCTGTGGTTCATAGTCTTTATTAAATCAATCTTTAAAAATAAAAAGAGCAGATCCTTCTCCTCTTCTTCTTAACTCTAGAACTTTGATACTTTTCAGTGGATACAGTGGACAAATAAGTCAACTTAAGTGATATGAACCCTTCAATGGAAGATATTTATGTACATGTGAAAAGGATGTCAAAATACAGCCAATAACATTACTATCAGATGATGGGATTAGTACCATTTATAAGCTAATTTTATATGTTTCTAGAGCTGTGATATAATCAGTGACATAGTTAAATTTGAAATAAATCTTTTATTGGGGCTCTATATTTTTCTGCGGGTTAGGGTACATGGACTTGGGGGACAGAATGCCAGATCTGAGCCCTATCTCTGCAGTTACTAGTTTGGTGACCCTGATTAGTTACTTAATTGTGCTTCACTCTGCCCATATATAGAATGGGGATAATTAATAATATGAGGACATTATATGGGTTTTATATATGTGAAGTGCTTAGATCTGTGCTTGGTATATGTTAATAATCAGCTAAAATGAATGTCTATTCTTATTATCATTATTCTTTGTGGGAAAAAGTTTTATTTTATACTTTAACTATAGCATGTTATATTTGAGGATAATTTCATTGCTCATCATAAGGCTTTTAAGGAAAAAAAAAGATTTGTTTTGGGCTGGTTAGATTGCAAAGTGCTTTAAATTAGGAACTCATTACTTTCAGTGAGGATAGTGCCCTCTGGTGTAAATGTTTCTGTTCCCTCTCCCCCAAGAAACTTCTTATTAGTAGATATCTTATTTTTCCTAAGAGCTTTACGTATATCCCTGAAAGGTGGTTTGTAGGTCAAACTGTATTTCATTTGTAAGAGGAGAGATACATCACTTAAAGTCATCTTGGAGTGAGTAACTTCATGAAAAGAGGATTTTTTCCTGCAGGTTGATTGATTTGTTTCAGACTCATTGAACTTTCAAACACCTAAGTAAAATGAAATAGGCTCTGAAGGGGAAAACTGCAAAAATGATTTTATTTTATACTTTAATTCAAATAACCATTTCTGGCTTGGTGTAGTTTTTAACTAAAATTTTAGTTTTTGTATTTGCCAAGTCAGGTTAACTGTAAGGTTTTACCTAAATGATTCTGTCTGAGCAGATTAGTGACCTTTAAATCTGAATGCTGAGACGCACCCGGTGAATGGAAGAAGAAAAGAAGGCCTTGGAGGACTTTAGGTGGTAGAGAGGAGAGATTACCCCTTGATGGAAACCGTATCACTGTTATCACTTGAGGGTCAGAAGACTTGTTTAAAATCCTGACTTTTAAGTAGCATAGTGAGGGGGGAGAAATTTCTATACCTGTGAAAGTTTTTTTTTTTTCCATAACACAAACTGGGTGGAATTTTGTATGTTTTAAGTAGATTGTTGGCCTTAATTACTATTAATACCCGCTAAGACTTTTAAAGGAAGAAAAAAATGAAACAAAAAATAGACTGTGCAGGCCCTATTATAAAATATATAGAACAATGGACCTGGGAGAATGGAGCCTGCCAGGGAACTTAGTCCTTTGTTAGATTGGTGGTGAAGTGGGCCTGGGGGTGGATCGGAGGATGGGGGGCTGTTTTGTATGGTGGTTGATAGGAAGAACTTGAAGTCAGAACTGAATTTCTCTTGGGTTAGACATTTATTAGTTGGGTTATTTAACCTCTCTGAGTCTCATTTTCCTTCTCTGTAAAAGGGTGATAATGATGGTACCTATCCGATAAGTTGTTTTGAGTATTTAGGTAGTCCATTTGTTGGTACTTGGCACATAGTAAGCCCCCCAAAACCAGTATTGTTATAACTATTACTGTTAGCTGGTAGCCTTGTTTTTCCTCATTTTTCTGGCCCCTGTGTACTCAGAGGAAGAGCCTCTGATATTCTCTCTTAGAAAGCCATTCTGTTCTTCCTGCAGGAAAATCCAACCATGATTACTGCAACTTTTATCATCTGGGCATTTTGCTTACAAATTGTGAAACTAGCTGGTGCTGTAACCAAAAAATAATCTTTAACCTCAGACAGCAATTGTGAGAAGATGAAGAGGAGCAGGCTTGTGACCCAGCCCTATCACCAGCAGGTCATTAACAGAGGGAGTTTGTGAAGAGCAGTCACACTTTTGAGTTCTCAGTGAAGAACATTTCCCCCTCTGCAAGTGGTGACCATGTCAGGTTTTCCCATTTCTTGGCACACAAATACTGAAATCATGCAACAACTTAAAATATCTCCATATTTTAAAATGTTTTTTACAGAAGGAAAGTGACATGCAAGTTTTTTGCCTTTTTGGTGATAATCCCCAGAGATCATAAACCACGGTGTGCTGGGCACCCATC